GCCACTTAGTACTATACTAAGGAGCAGCGTTATTTTACCACCAAATCTGTGCGCCAACTGACTGCCCGGTATTTGTGTTACAAAATAGCCCCAAAAGAAACCGCTGAGCAGGTAGGATTTGGTCTTCTCGGACCATTGGTACTCCTTGGAATTAGAGTTGTGGAAAATTATTATTAAACTTTTTTTTATTTTTGTTTTCTTACCTCAAAATTGGGGTTGGTGGAATTCTTATCCATCATTGCCACTATCGCCACCGAAAGATTTACGCGTTGCGTGATCGCTGCAGAGAGTCCCAGAAATATTAGAAGACATTGTATATGACGCGCGCCGAAGAGCGGTGCTGGAATATGGAGAAAATTCCATAATATTTATTTAAAATGTGTTTAATTTAATTATTTCACTTATTAGTTTAGTAATTTGTTTCACTTATTAGTTGGTAAAGATTAAATATATTTCTTATATAGATGTTCGGTGACATGAACTTTGCTTCATTTAAAAAAAAAAAAAAAAAAAAATCACTCGAAGAAGTTAAAGCCTGTCGAATTTTTTTACAAACCTTTATTTTTGCTATCATCTAGCTGCTTAATTTCCATTTAATATTCAGTTATTGTTACACTGTTCGAAAAAAGTAGAACTAAAAGTTCAGAAACAGAAAAATTTTGAATGGACCTGCAAGCAAACAAGTTGATTGATCGAGCGTTGAAAACCATCTAACAGTTTTCGCTGTTTTCATAGTTAGTGTAGAGTGAGCAGCGGYAGCTGGGTAGGGTGGCTCATAAAGCACCTCAATTAAATTTAACACTTAGTGTTGACACAACATTTGCATTTTAAATATAACATTTTTAAAAAATTTTTTTTTTTTAAATCCTTAGTGAAATAGTTTCTACATTTTAAAAATTGGGAACACAAAAATTCTGAGTTACAAATCATAAATATCTCCTTAGCCCTCTTAAATGTAATATATTTAGACAAGATTCTCACAAATTTGTTGCTTTCGAACCACCAACTTGASATACACATACATATGTACTGTTTATGTAGCCTCTAGTAGAGTTCTTAAATTTTATATGTGCTTATCTTTTGGCATATAATTTGTATTATAAATACATATGTATATGCGCTTTTATGTGAGGATTTTACACCAAAGATAAGCARAATGGGCGTGACCGATGAGTCCGATTAATTATCATAGATAGTTGAGTAAGTATGCCCCCTATGTTAGGTATTAAGATAATAAATTTGGTCTTAGAAAAAAAAATATATGTCTTTTTTACAAGGCCATCTTCTTAATTTGAATATCAGGCTAAATTTTTTAGCCTTGATATGATAGCTCTGCTTTTTCTAAGKATATTAGTGGTGAAATAATTATACTCCTTTAATTTATTTGGTTGTTGCTTGTGATCCTTCTTTAAATATATATACTAGATTTAGTTTTATGTACTTTTCAAAAATTATCAAAAGAAGAAGGACCACAAATGAATTAAATTCACTTATGAATTTTAATATCCACCGTTTTCCGACAGCAATTTCGTATACTTTCTAGCCGTGCCTTTAGCCCACGATCAAGTCTTGTTCATGATTACGAATAATTTCAACTTTAGTGATCAAAATTTGCTAGCCTTGTTTTAGAGAGCACAATATTATATTAAGCAAACAATTTTTTTTTATTTTTAAATAATAACCACTTAAAATAGCCAGACAAAAAATAGTCAGCCACATTTCGTAAACCCTAATAAACACTTAAATAATATGAACAACCACAGAAATCAGACAACTTATGACGAAGTAGAATAGTAGGCGCTGAGAATACATTGTATAAAATTAAAAATAAAAAAAATAAATAAAAAACAAGCTGAACAAACAGTTAATTTATTTAATATGATAATGCTCCTTTTTTACATTGTACTTGTAGTAACATAGGTAAGTTACCAGAAATCCATTTTACGAAGAAAGCAAACCTTTATACATATATAAAATGGTTATTTGTTGTAATGACCCGCTTTGAGCAATATGTTGAAGCATTGTATTGAAAAATAAGCCTTCCATAAGTTTTGTAGACTTCTTGTCAAATATTAAAGCTTAATATAACAGGGTTTTCAATATAAGCGCTTTTTTTTTTATTAAATAACAACGGTTTGGGATATCAGTGAAAATGGGCATGGGCACGCCTGAAGAGGTTCTGACGCTGAACCCAATTTTCGACGGGTTTCAAGCATAAAACGGCCGATTCTGCTGCAATTTCAMATTCAATATTCGTACGAATCGTCACTTTCCGCCGTCAAATCGCACAACCGAGGCGGCCAATTGACTGGGCCACACTTCCACCAAATTTGGTTTTCAACAAATCGATTGTGACGTATGCTGTGTGGCTTGTGGCGCCATATCGTTGCAACCATRTATTGTCCTAGTCCATATCATCCGCTTCTGGGCAAATATATTCGGCTATCATTGCGCAGCCAGCCCATAAACCGCACCAAACCGCAAATTATGGGATGCATGGAGTTCGTGTGGAATGCTGCCTGACCCACAACGAATTGACGAAGCCGTTCAGCTAGAAAAGCGCCACATCGCTGAAGATGATTTTTCGATGAAAATCCCGATCATTTTCAAGTTGTTGCTCAGCCCAATTCACGAACATACCACGATTCTGGTGGTCAAGAGGCTTTAGTTTTTGAGTCAATTTGATCTTGCAAGGATGTAGGCCAAGATTTTTTGGCAAAATTGGCCACAAYGATGTCACAGAGATGCCCAACGCTTGAGAGCGACGTGTGTGGGACTAATTTAGGTCATTSTCAATTGAAGCGATGGCGGCAAYAATATTCTCGACACTGTTGACACTTTTTTGTGTCACTGGCACGGGAACATTTTATAGCGCTCTTAAAGTTGAGGCGACTCACTCCGATTTTCGGTAGTAAATTTTAATAATTTCGACTCGTTGTTGGATCGTATATCTTTCCATTATGAAATGGCAAATCTTAGTGAAAAGAAATGTCAAAAGAAAAGAGTGAAATATAGCGTCCCTATTGAAAAATCCGTTTTAAGGACTTAASTTCGATCGGTCTGTTGGCATGGCAGCTATATGTTATTCCTATACTGGCAGTTCTCACAAATAAGCAGCTTTTTGATAAATAACGACCTTGTGGAAACTTTTAGAGCGATATCTAAAAACTTGTTCKCATATATACGGACGCACAGGTAGACGGCCATAAGTAAATCGACTTAGCTAGTCACGCTGATCAATTATGTATATATTTTATGGCRTCGCAGCTTCCTTTTCRTTGTTACAAACATCGTGGCAAACTCAATGGACCCWGTATAAGGTAACTATGTTGACAAATAGAACTGCCAATATTCGAAAAATATAACTTAGTMAACGATTTTCATCTACTTTAATGACATAAATCAAAAAAATTAAGCACATTGCTGATTTTAAAATATATTCCACTTAATCACATTGTAATCAATGCARGTAATGAGAGAAGGTCAATAGACTAATGACAAACAAAAAATAAATTTACAWATAWACATCTTATTCCTCTCTGTTTAACGCCACACCACATAACTTTTTAAAAGCTATGAGGGTCAACTTAAGCAAACTTACAACAGTACAATTAACTAATGACAGCAGCACATTACAATGCATAAATCGTGCAAGCATGTCGCATAAATATCATAATATAAATATGAATACGTCTCATTTGSCTCTAGTAGACATCTTTCTCCACATTGACTGGCTCGAATTTGATGTGATCCCTTTGCTGTTCCGCCTCTTTGGGATAGTTCCATTTCTGGATTTTGACCTGGCCGAAGAGAATAAATAGCAGATTGCCAAGAAAGTAAAGAGCGGCGGTTATATTGAATATGATGCGCCATTGATTAACGTTTTTCTAAAAATATACAAACAACCACGCATTAAAAAATATGTACCATAAAAAATCAGCGAACCTCTAACTCACCGAATCAGTGACGATGAAGCCCACCAGCAGGGGCGCTACTACAGCCATTAAATTTGCCATGCAATTAGCCACGCCCATTAGTATGCCAGCAAAGTTGGGCGACAAGTCAATGTGATTGGTCAAGAAGCCCAGGTAAGCTGCSGAATTGACACCGATTAAGATGACAAGTAAACCAACTGCCAAACTGCTTTGATCTTCGCGCAAATAACCCAACAATATGAGTGGCAACACCGGCACCCAGAAGCCGATGGTATTGAAAAGTTTACGACTTGTGCGTATGCTGATTAAATTCCGTTTGATAAGGAAATTATTTAGGCCACAAAACACAAAAGTCAAAAACATATTAACCAGATATGGTAGCGCCGACATGAGAGCATTGCTCTTGATATCCTGTTTCAGAATATTCTTCATATATGATGGAATTTGTATGAGCATCGTCCAAAAGCCCCAAGCGAATGTGCTCTGTGCGAATAGAATTACTAAGAATGGCACCGAAGTGACTATTTTAACCCATGGCGTTTTCRTTGGTAYATGCTCGTCCTCTGGTTTGGCCGACGTCACYAATGCTGATTGAATATATAATTTCTCTTCGGCAGATATCCATTTGTAGTCGCTGGGATCGCTAGCGCCCACAAAGTACCACATAATAACATATAATAAACTTATCAAACCGGAACTGTAGAAGATGCCAGGCCAGCCTAATGACGACGACGCAATGGTACCGCTGATGCCCATCATTATGACGCTACCGAATTGTACACCCGTATAGCAGAAGGTGCCGATCGAGCCGCGTTCCTCGGGTGGCACCCACTTGGAGAGTAGCGTGTGTGTTGAGGGGAAAATGCAACCCTGTATTAAGCCTTGTACCACACGCAGTGCAAAGACCAATTTCCAATCGCCTAAGCGCGCTGTAAGCGGTGTGAGCATGCACAAAATACTACTGAGGCCCAAACTTAGAAGCAACATAATTTTACCGCCATATTTGTGCGCCAACTGACCGCCAGGTATTTGTGTCACGAAATAGCCCCAGAAGAAACCGCTTAGCAGATATGATTTTGTTTGCTCCGACCAAGCGTACTCCTGTGTGGGTGAATGATATGATTATAAATAGTTATGKWTATATGYATGCAGTCATATGTTTCTAAATYGTTAGCCCACTTTACCTCAAAATCTGGATTTGTTGCATTCCTGTCCGTCATTGCCACAATTGCCACCGAAAAATTAACTCGTTGCGCGAAAGCCACAGTTAAACCGATGAAAATCATGAAACACTGCACATGACGAGCGCCAAAAAATGAAGCTGAAATTTTTAAAAAAGAAAAAAATTATCATCATTATTTTTTTACATAGAAGTAGAGCCTACGCTCCAAGAGAGAGCGCTACTAAACTCATACTTTTTGGTAAAACCGTAACTTCAAAAGACATGTTTATAAATTTCCTTACTGTGSGACAATTGTTGAGTCAGATACACCAGCTTGAACAACGCCGAATATGGAAATAAATTAAATTTGTTAAGGAACCCCTTATTTTTAACAAAAAAATGCTACTGATACAAAACACGTCTCTCTCATGGTGCTCGAAACTCCAGTGTCTAGGAGGCAAGAATCAGTTTTATTTCAAATTAGATTCAAATTGGTCGAGTGGTTCCTTAGTTTTCTTATGTCGTTTTAAAGTGGGCGGTGCCACATATGCATGACATCAAATTTCTAAACTGTTGCCGTACATTGATTATACAGAAGTACGACTATTATATATTATTGACACATAATGGTTAGTCGAAAAAGTCTTTTCGTATTTCAAATCAATATTTAACTTATTTTGGCTTATACTAATAATGAACTCAACTCAAGGTTATATAATGGATGACAAATCGCTTTCAATTAATGAWCATTTCTGGCCGTTTATTTTCGACTGCTTGCTTCAATCTTATAACTTGTTGACAGCAAAATATAGAATTAATTGTTTGTACAGGCAGCCGATAGTAGATGATTCCTTTACAATCCCACCAAACACTCAGCATAACCTTTCGAGGCATCAATCCTGGTTTTGCGACTATTTGAAAGGCTTCATTACGCTTGGACCTTGATCTTTTTCGCAATTTATAGTTGTATTTGATCCACTTTTCGTCTTCTGCTATCATTCGCTTCAGAAATAGTTCGATTTCATTTCGTTTCAGTAAAGAAAATATAGCAAATTGTATMATTTTTTGATTACCTGCAGCTTTATTTCAACATTCCCGAATTKAATTTCGGGAATTAAATCTCACCTTTCGAAGCACTGGAGATATCCGACTGCAATGACATCTATTGACAAAATACGAAATTACTTTTTCGACTACTTATATAACAGGAAAATTTTTCTTCACGATTTGTCAGTATAGCTTTAGCAGTTTAGCAGTTGCTCTGTTTTCAAATAAATTTTACTCCGCTGATTATCCTTCCTACATAGGATATGTATAACATCATAAGTTAATAGATATAAGTTATTCATTAAGGTTTCGGGTAGATCACTTGTTAGCAATTAAAAATAAGTTCTTTATGAATGATCACAACCCATAGACGTTGGGATTCAAGATATGTCAACCTTAGCACACAAAAAGTGTCTTAAGCCGGTAGTGCTGAGATACGTGCTCTTCTTTCAAAACACTTGGACGGTTGTCAATATATGATTATTTTTTTTTTTTTTTTTTTTTTGAATTTAGTTCTTTAGTGTAATTTTTTGGTGTTTGATACAACTAATTTTGAAAACTAATTACGACTGGTTTGAACTAATAACACATAGGAATTGTATTATATATTTTTGACTATTTTATGTTAATTTCAAGATGTTTTTCTAATCATTTCAAGTTCTCAATACTCCCATGTTCCTTCTAAAAAATTTAACGGCATTAATTTTGTTCTTCGTTCTTGAAATTCAAACTTCTATTTTTTTGTGTATTTATTGTGTGATACATTTTCAAAGGATCTAGAATTATAAACCGCTATTTTTATCCTTAATTGCCACACTTCACAAACCTTTTTCTTCTCTTTCATATTTCGCACTTTTCTCCATTTTCACGAATGTGTTTTTTTTTTTTTTATAATTKCAAGTACAGGAGGTAAGAAAYTAAWATGGTTTTTCACATTTCCCGAAACCAAATTTGGCGCGTGCGAATGCTTTGAGACGTGGCAAGCTTCAGCATCAAGTTACTCCTCAGCTTACACAGTTATAACTGTCAAAGGCAAGTACATGTAGCGGGTTATTAAGAAAATAATTAAACTGATTATTAGGGAGATTATAAATAAGTAGTAATTACAAAAGATTTGCGAAGAACACACTTTATAGGAGAAGATGTCTCTGGGTGACGTTAACACTTGTACTGCTCGTGACATTATAACAGTTATATTTAGTATCTACTTCTTATTTATTTAAATGTGCACCACATGGCTAGGCCGCTCTTATGATAAAGACCTTTAATATACATTTTTAAATACATATATAGTTTTAGTATTTAAATGTTATTTATACTTGTCCACTTTGGTTCAACTGTTTTTTTTTTTTTTTCTACATACACAAACGCCGTAAGTTGGACTTGCAGATTAACTCATATTTATGAACCCGATTAAAACTTATCTCTCGGTCATATGTATCTACATATAGTACACCCAATGGCGCTTATCAAGTGTGATGCTGGCTGCACGTTGTCTGAGTAATTATACTATRCACATAAATATATGCAAATATATAATAGTAGTATTTATATAATAGTAAATAAGTAAATAACAGAATGTGTAAACATGACAATGTCTTTAGAGCGCCAAGCACTTGAGGATTTGCATGCGGCTTCTTCTTCTATATTCATAGCGGAAGTTGGTACCCATTCGAAGTGGAATTTTTTAATTCAAAAGTACCGTTCAAACAGAATGCAAAGTCACTTAACTTTATGCGCATCCAGAGAATGTACCGAGTGTAAAGTCAATAAAAGAGGCTGCTCGTGACATTACTGTTAGGAAACTTCAACACATTTAAAAATAACACGTTTTATCTAATAATAAATTTAAGACAAAACACATACTTAAAGAATTGCTGCGGTTACATTGGGTACATGAGGCGAGCATATGGACTAACCGGACAACTGGTCACATTAGTTTTAAGCTATTACTAACGACACTAAAATAACTCATGTAAAGAACGGTTACTCACTTGGCTAAATATAAGCAAGCTGAAAAAATCACTGACCTCGTAAAATGGTAACAAGGGGGTGTTAATAACACGATTGCCTAAGCAAGTCATTTTGACTGCTTTCGAATTTCAATTAAAAAACGAGTGATTTAAATAACGAAATGGCTTGCAATAATTTTGTGACTTTGTAATTAGCTAGTCATTGTGTTCGGTCGCTCCTTCACTTCCAATATATACATATATATWTATATTGCCGAAAGGYAGTCATTTTCACTRCTTTCAGGCAATAGAGGTATAACTACGCTCCCGTCTTTCTAATGTTAACACCACAAAGTATAAGCAAAGCGGCATTGACATATTAAAATATTAACAAAGGGGTCACAGAACCCAAATTTAAACAAAAGTATTTGACTTAGCTAAATGTAAAAAAGGTTCAGGACTAAATGTAAAAATAGTTTTAGGCTTGCCTATATGTAAACAAAAGGGTCATTGACCTCATAAAATGAAAACAAAGTGGTGATTGACCTCTTTATTTGTAAACCAAATGGTCAGTGATCTGAAATTCAAATAATAAAGTCTGAAGTCCAAGCGCCTGTTGTCTGGCATTCCTGTGTCCTTCTTTTCAACCAACCAAGAAACTCAACATGCGGTACATGAATAAAAGTGGCTGCTGTCAATCCCATTATCCAATTTTCTTACCGATTCACATGCAACCGTACAGTATTATATTTACCATTGTATATAATGGTTAGAAGAAAATCTTATGATTCTGTTTCCATTTTACTTGAGTAAACCTGATCATGCGACACTGTACAAAAGAGTTATCTTTTAAACCATAATCAAATGTTATGAAATAGAAATGCAAATATTAGTATGTTCGCCAAATAATATTCCTAACTAAGCAGCTAATTCTCCTTAAAGATACCAGCTCACTTAAATGATGAGGCATTTTTCAAAAAGCTGCTCACTACTGTGCAGTTCTTTATTTGGAACCCTAAAGAATTTAACAATGTTTAATCAAGCGAGTTCATTTTATTTTGTTTTATTATGTTTTTTTTTATTATTTATTTTAATTATTTTATTTGATTTTTTTTTTAATATTTAAATAAAGGATAAGAAACACTGTGCCATATTTAATGTAGCTTTTATTGTCACTAAAAAATACGAAGCGAGTTACGCCTTTTTTCGAAAAAGGGGAAATATTTTGGTTTTACTCTTTACTTTTACTCTCACTCGCTGTCTGCTTCACTCTGTTATAGAATTTCAAGTTAGCTTAATTCGTAACCGACGCATTAACATCTAGCAGAATCTAGAATTCAGAGAATACCTATTTCTTGAAAATATTAAATAGCTCATTTATCCAATATAGAAAGAATTTATGCCGAATCTTAAAATATTAGTTAAAAAAAATTGCAAATATTGTGTTAATTGACTGAACTAAAACGATGGTTGAGCTCATAATCAGACCTCTCTTATAAACATTTTTCTTCTTCTTCTTGATTGGCGTAGTCACCGCCTACGCGATTATAGCCGAGTTAACAACCGCCCGCCAGTCGTTTCTTCTTTTCGCTACGTGGCGCCAATTAGATATTCCAAGTGAAGACAGGTCCTTCTCCACTTGGTCCTTCCAATGGAGTGGAGGTCTTCCTCT